CAAACCCTAGACCCAGTCAACCTGAAAAGTCCCAGCTAAGATGGCATGAGGCGCTGGGGAGACATCTTGCCACAAACCATAACAGTCATTTAGAGAGTTTGGCCTTAGAGGACTGGGAGTGTAGCTCAGTAGTAGGACACTTGCATAACCTGTGCAAGGCCATGGTTTGATCACTAGCAACAGTGTTTGAGAGAACTGGCTGGCTACATTCTGGATTTTCTGAGGCTATTCACTGATAGATTGGCCATAGAAGGGGTGAGAAACAAATTTCAGCTAAAATAACATGTAGTGTCTGACTCTATTATCCCGGCCTTTCATCTGGAATGTTAGTTCCCGGAGGTTAGGAAATTCACCCTATTCACTGCACCATCTCCAGCATCCCTTGCTCAATGCTAACCACGTATCTACTGTAAGTTGAACACCACATGACTTAAAATAACAGAAAGTAGTTTTAAAAGGAAGAGGTGGTTAGTTCTAAGTTTTCTCTGATAAAAAATTCATACTGCTGCATCCTTGCAGTGGTTTCTGAAGAGAAATTAGCAACAAGATCTATTACTCCTAATGGACTCAATGGTGAACTGAAGATTAATGCCACAATTTTTTTCTCAAAAAGGTTGACAGAATCCACTGCAACATTTGTATTTGCCTTCTTGGTTTGTGTCAAATGGGAGGCGAGAAAGCACTTATGTCTCTCAGTTCCAAAGGAAGCACAGTTGCCCTTCCTCCAAATGTGCACAGGACACTTGTCCAAGAACCCATCACTCCAGAGTGTAGAGATCTCTCTCTGCTCAATAGCATGAAGCTTGCTATGAAATTTTCATGTGGATCTCAGAGATTCTATATATTCTGTATAAAAAAAATGCTTAATTAGCTAATGTAGCAGAAAGGAAGAGGGTCTATTAACTATTCCATCTTTGAGATTCATTTAGTTACTTCTGTAAGCTAATCGTCACAATGTATTTTAAAAACAAAATGATATTTTACTACATAATTTGCATTACCAATGATAGCTGGCCCACAAAACAAAAAGTAAAACCCCTGTACTAATTTGCTATTCTATATGATAAAACATAACGAAGGTTAGTTATTAGGACAGGATATTGCCTGGCCCACAGTTATTTCTCAGTAAACATTATCTATCATCATTATCATTGCATTGAAGATTGTACTGCAGAAAAATGAACAGATACTATTTTGTGTGTTTACTATTTAGCACTGTGCCATGTATTGTGATACAGAAAATTAGAAACCATTGCCATAGTCTTTAGAAATTTAAAACATGTACATCAGGGATTTATATAAAATCTAAATAGAAAAAAATCCAGTAGGGTATAAAACAGCACTAGAATGTGCATGAAAATGTGATAGTTATGCAAGATATAGCTTTTTAATGAGAAAGTGACACAGCATTTGCCCAAGGGGAAAGGTTACAAAGATGTCTTAGGAAGGCTGTGAAGAGAAGGACCAGGTGGGAAGGACGGTGGGTAGTGTTGGTGATGAAGCTGTAAATTTATGAAGCCCTGGACTAGGACAACGGCAGAAACAGCATCACACAGGCAGGATCTAGAACTGATTTTTGAAGACAGAGTCTGCTACATCTGTGACTGAATGGGTTTGGGATGAAGTTCGTCAGCTTCTATCTGTACACTAGGTTAGGGACAGGTGAAGCCCTGGTTACAGGATGAGTCCAGACTGAGAACTGGGAGCAAAAAGTGGCCCAAGAGCCAGGCAGGAGCCTCGTCACTGGATGGTATTACGGCGGCCAGGGAAGAAAGAAGGATTAATTCTGTAAAAGACCCAACAGCTAAGATTTAACAGGCAGAAAGAATCCAGTACCTGGCATCAGTAGAAAAATAAAAAATGACTGAAAGAAATAATTTATTGGAGCCAAGAAAATATTGGTACAATTGACTGGGCACAGAATTTACCAAGACAAGTCAGTTTTAGAGTGGATAACAAGTGATTTAGTGGCACAGAAGCTGACTTTCAAGATATTGGGAACCATCTGCTGCTTTATGAGTGGCTGGGTATGTGGAATCCATATCATCAGAAGGAAGACCTGAACCTAGAAGAACGAATGAGATTTCCACCTCCATCCCAACACAGAGTAGGAAAAAATAAAATTAAAGCTTAGAAGGGAGAAACTGAAGGAGATGCAGAGTAAGGAGACAGAAGACTGAAGGATTCGCCTGAATAGAATCTGACAGAACACAGTGGTGGAGGAGACCACGTATAAAGCTCTCAAGGCAGAAAAGATCAAGTTTCCAGAGAGCATACACCCAACACACTGACAGAGCAGTCTCACCCATGAAGAATTATGTCTGATTTTACCTGAAATCAAAGGGTGAGGTGGAAAGAGCAGCCCATGTAACACAGTCCTACCATAGAAGCATTAAACGTTACTCAGAGATTTAACCCCTAGAGAATTACTGTACTAATAGATCCTCCTGCTCACAAAACGGCACAAACACACTCTGCAACCTCAAGGCAAGCAGAACTGCTCTCCTTAGGACTCCCTTGCTTTTTAAAAAACGCACTAATGATTTCAGTGTTGGTTTCAACCTGCCCCCAAAAGTAAATAATTAGTCTCATTCTGCTTTGTAGAATTTATGAAATATTTTCTTTTTTTTTAACTTGCAATTTTTAAAGTTTGAAAGCTCGGTAACAGTTGGCATTACCAGGCAGTTTTTGTTTTCAAATTAAGCACACTCCAAGATTCTGTATCCAGTCACCACTTTTACACACATAAACACCCCAGTGTGCTACGGCTTCTGCACAGCTCAGTGTAGGAGGGAGGAGTCAGCCGGAGGTACTCCTGATGTTCACCAAGCCCTGAAGATTTCTTTAGCGATCACCGTCATGCACACCATGGCACAACTTCAAGTGGATGCTGGATTTCACACGTGCATTCTGTATTTTGGCCTATGTTTTATGTTTATGAAGGGAGCCTCTCAAGGACTGGTTCCAAGCACGATGGTTCAAGTGGAAAAAAAGTTGGCAAAAGGGCACTGCTCTGAACTATTAGAAAGATGAAATGAATGCAAAGAAAAAATTAAAAACTGATACATTACAATAAAATTGTGATTCCAATAACAAAAAAAGGTGAGACCAGAATTAAGAACAACTATGATATTCAACATTGCGAGGGTAAGAATAGAGAGAAGAATTACATACATTATCTAACTGGATCACTAAAAAAGCAAACTTATGATACTAGGATAATACAACTGTCTGAAAGGTATTTTGACCCATTTGGTAACCTGAAGAGCGACCTGGGTCTCTTAGCAATGCCTTTTGTCCACCTGTCTTGCATCATGGTCCTATACTCCCTACCTGCCCATCCCTCCCAATGAGTCTCTGTGAACCTTTACCATCAGTTTGCTTTACACACACACACACACACACACACACACACACACACACACACACAAATGCTTGGCCTTGAAAGATGAAGAATCCCAAATGGAAAGGTGTGAGTTAAGTATATAGAAGATAATTCACAGTGAGGTTTAAACTTAGGAGCGCTGATGCTATGAGTACCTTCTTTTCAACAGACAGGAATCTGAATCCGCAAATCCATGCTGCGCCTCTCAGGAGACACCTACTAGTGCCACACCTGATCCAAGTGGGATGTGGGGGTGAAGGGAGAGGACAAACGCTAATCCTTGGATGGATCCGTGCACATAACAGTCATCCTAGAGCAATAATTATGTTCTCGTTTTTGCTCGTCCGGAGTCTTTTCTGGCTTCTGTAGATCTGCTTCCTCCCGTTCTTTCTCTCAGTTGTGGTCATACTGCACAACTGGTGTCACAGAACTCACTAGGGAGCAAAGGGCCCTGTGCACAGGAGCCCTGAGAGAGCCCTGAGGACCCCAGAAAGCTGGCCTGCATTTCCTGAGAGGAAATGGTAGGTTCAGGAGGAAAAAAAACCAAAAACAAACAAAACCAGTAGAGCCTGCCCACTTCCAGGATGTTATTGAAAATTTGTGTCTACAAAAACCCTTAGCAGCATTGTGGCTATTGTGGCAAGGCAGAGACACAGGCCGGTGTAGAAAGGGTGTCAACAACACCAAAACACCTGAGAAGCAGCTGCCACTGAAGCCCACACATTAAGTTTCTGAATGTGAATAATAAAAGAGATAGGAGAGGAGTTGGTCTCCCACGGAAAATAAGAACATGTACAGATGGAAGAACTTTAGAGAAGTTATGGGCCATTTGCTGGAAAGATTTCGGCAACCTAGGTCAGCTTAAATTTTCAAATGTCTGCACACCCAGATACGCCAGGCCACGGTGACCAAGGTTTTATCTTTGCCCGGTACATCGGCAGAGTATCCTGTCTCATGAACTCTGCGTAAGTGGACAGCACAGCAGAGGAACAGCCAGTGTCAGCCTCCCTGCCCCATGCTCCAGCAGGCAGGGCGGTTGTGGTGCCCTGGCCCGTTCCCTGCTCGGTCAGTCCTGTGCTCACCTGCCAGTGGCAACCGGCAAACACCGGAGCCGCTGACCTTCACAAGGGCCTCTGTGATAAGAGCAAAGTCAGACACCCAGCAACGGGCCTCATGTTCTTTTGGCAAAACAAGGGTTTCTATCATCTGTTTATAAAGTCAGCAGTGGTATTATTTTAACAAGGAAGCCAGTGAGCAGTGCAAGGTCTCATAACTGTCCACACAGCTATTTTCTCAGCAAGCTGCACCATCACTCTGCTCATACATACCCCCGGCATCACATGAATGGTATTAAGATGGATTAAGAAATAAAAGTGACCCTAATCCTGGGGCTGGAGTTTACTGTTACTTGAAACTAGCCGAATGTTTGCATAACACACTCAATTTTGTTTCACAACCTGTCTACAAAATTCACAGAGGCAGTAAGAGGGCGAGGCTACGTCTGTGACGACCGTTTGCTCACTGAGCAGCCCTCATCCCAGATGAGGAAAAGGTAGCATGTCCAGCAGTGTCCCTGGCTCATCGGACAGAGCTGGTGGGCGCAGGGCCTGTGTACCTAGCTGCTTGTCCCGTTCCTCACGTCGCTCCCGGGCCAGCCGCTGCCGGTCATCAACTCGTAGCACAGGTGGAGGGTCTGAAATGACATAAAAGACAGGAGAGGAAGAGTAGATTAAAAAACATACACTGCGATAAATATCCTCTTGCCTAATCAGTTTGATCAATGAAATGTTACTGTATGTGTCACAGTAGTTAGTACACATGTCTGCAGTCACAGCGATATTATTATTGTAACTTTTCTGAGGATTCCTAAGCATTTTTCTTCATCGGAAAACATTATGCAGAGGCTGGAGATGTAGATCAGTGGCAGAGCACCTGCTAAGCACATGAGAGGCCCTGCATTTGGTTTCCAGCACTGTTAACTAAATAATTTTTTTAAATCTTGTAAAATTATAACTTATCTGAGCAATATAAACAATGTTTTGTGTTCCAAAGCTATCAAACTGCTATTATTTTTATACTTTCAATAGTTTGTTCCTTAACAATAAATGGGATCCTCACTAGGGGGATTTATATTGAGTAGATGTTTAGAGGTGATGAGTCAATCAACAGGAGCTGTTTCTTTGTGATCACTCACGTGCTATAGAAATATGGCCAAGTTACTTGGTCACCTCTCTTATTTTTTATTTTTGGTTTTCTGAGAGAGGGTCTCACTGTGTATTCCAGGCTGGCCTTGAACTCACTATGTAGCTTGGGCTGGTCTAGATCTTGAAGAGATCCTCCTGCCTCAGCCTCAGGGATGGGATTACAGGCATGTACCTTACCTGGTTTGACCAGCTTTCAAAGCCTCAAACTATGTGTTTTTGTTTTTGTTTTTGTTTTTTTTTTTGGTACCGGGGGATTGAACTTGAGTCCTTGCACTCGCAAGGCAGGCCACCGAACTGCTGAGCTAAGTCCCCAGCCCTATGTGAGTTTTTATTCATTACCTGCATAATGAAGTAAAAATCAGGACCCCATCTCACATCAGGAGAATGAGAGTGAGTTATTAGCATAACGCTCAACACTGAAGTCTCAGCAAGTCTATTCACTCAGTACACGCAGAGATTCTACTACACATGTATGAGAGAGAGCTCTGCATGCTAAAAAGGCAGCAGTCAAAGGAAAGACAAAGCCTCAGCCCCCAAGGGGTTTACCATTCTACTCAGGAAAAATTTATTAAGTAGGATAAGTAAAATACACTGCATGAAAAAAGCAGAGGCACGTGTGGTGTGTTAGGCTGAGCTAAATGCTAGGGGACAACAAAGCAATAAAGGGGATTATGATGTGTCAGAAGCATGATATTTAGGGCCTAAGCAAGGTATTGATGTGATGCCACTTTCATGTGTAAAGACTTGATGGGTGTGAGAGCTGTCTGTGCAGATGTCCCAGAGAAAGCATGGGCAAAGCCCTGAGTTCGCAAGTATCTAACATGTTCAAGAAACATCTGGGAGATAGGAGTGACTCCGGCAGTGCGAGATCGGCAGGGCACGGACTCCAGGAGGTGTGGCAAGGATTCTGGATTATCTTGAGTGAGACAGGCCTGTGTGTGTGCATGTGGTTGAGGGTCACTCCATTGACACAGAGAAACACAATGATGCTTATAATAATAATTATACTCGAAATCAGCGCTTTCCGTTGAATTGACAGGACATTTTTAAAAACAGGGCTAAGCCTGGTGGTGCACCTATAATTCCAGCACTCTGAGAAGCTAAAGCAGGAGGACTGCAAGTCTGAGTCCAGCCTGGATGACTTAGCAAGATCCCATCTCACAAAACAAAACAACGAAAAGGGGGTTGGGGATGTAGCTCTGTGCAGTGTGAAGGCCCTGGGTTTAATCCCTAGTGCTGTAAAAAAGCCAAAACCCAAACCCAAAACAGGGACCGGACCTACCTACCACATTGAAGATAGCACGATAGTGTTTCATCAACGAATTAAAGGCCTTGCATCCAAAATGCCTCTTACACTTCATATATTTGTACATTTAAAAAAGGAAGTGAAAACCCTGTAAAAGGTCCAAGTGTGGTGGCTCATGTCTATAATCCTAGCGCTTACAGGGCTCGGGGGGATGAGGCAGGAAGACTGCAAATTCAAGACCAACATGAGCACCTTATCTCAAAAAAAAAAAAAAAAAAAAAAAAGGGTTGGAGGTGTAACTCAGTGGTGTAGCTCTTGCTTAGGATGTGTAAGGCCTTAAGGTCAGTCCCCATGCCACCAAAAGAAAACCCCCTTTATCTATAAGAAACTGCGCCCTACAATATAATACGTAACAAGGTTGTATATAGTTCTGCACAAATAGATCAAGAGATCACTATCAATAAGCCCATGCTTAGGACCATGTAGTTCCCACAGCCCTCTTTTGAGATCTGTGCTGAGAGAGGAATCACTCTGGACTGAGATCTGAGGAAGAATGAGAGCAACATTTCTACGGCACAACACACATGGTGATGGTGATGGTGACATTTTAGATGATCTGGGTTCATTCATTCAGGAGCCTGGCACTAAAAACACTGAACCGTGGAGAGAAAAAGTCGTGGAGTTGGAATTCTTCCATTCTTCAGTTAACGCTGAGAATCACAAGAGAACAGGTGGTGGTGAGCTGGGATGAGGAGGAAAGGACTCCTCTCTGATCATCTGTGCTGAATAAATGAGCCTTTGCTCACTTCCAGAGGCTTTAAAGTTCCACTCACAGGAACAAATGAGGCATGAGAAGAGCACTCTTGTCCCTACTAAAAGACTCAAACACTGAAATGCTAGCAATTAACCACTCCGTAGTTAACCCTGAGCATCACTCGGCCAGCTCATTTGTTCACGGACCTCTCAGGTATCACCCGGGCAAGTGTCATTTCAACCAGTCAATTTTTGTATTGAATAAATTTGATAAATTGTCATTTTATATTTCCTGTTATAGTGTCTTATAAAAATTAATTTAAAGAAATAACTTTTGGTCATCCTGTATTTAAATAACAGGACTGGTAAGTGGTTAAAATCTTAGTTTTAATAACCAAAAGTTGATAAAATTTATCTTTAAAGATGGATTTTTCAAAAAGAAAAAGTACAATAGAAGAATTTCAGGGAAAGAGTGGATTTTCTGTGACACATTGCTTTCTTTCTCATTTGCACCATCAATGTTCTGTCTGCGACAACATGCAAAAACTCCTCATGCACTGCCCCTCATAAGTCTGAAAACAGGGTCACTTGACTTCAAAAGATCGGAAAAACAAATGTTCAGTGACAGGCTTTGTTCAGAAACTCACTAGATCATATCTAACAACTATTTGTTTTGGAAAATTTTGCTCACTATGTAGTCCAGACTGGCCTTGAACTTGAGATCCTCTTTCCTTAGCCTGCTGAATGCTGGGATTACAGGTGTGCACCCCTAACTACTGTTTATACAACAAATAACTTCTCTTAGTGCTTTGCATAATTATCACTTTATCATTCCCAATACTACTATGCATTAGCCACAAATTTATTCACTTAATCGCGAATTATTATGCTCATTTCCCCCATAAGACAACAACCTCTAACTTGGTCCTGTATCCTCCTACACTCTGGCAGCTACAGAGTCATTAGAGGACCTGGTGTAGCAGTCAAGGTTGGGCTGGGAGATTCCAAATCACCTATTCCTGTGTGGAGGTAAAGTATTTACAAACAACGAGGGAAAGTGAGGTATCAGTGGCTCTAAAACCTATAGAGGAGGACAGCGGAAGACAGGAATTACAAGGGATTTGTAATAAATTTGAGTCTGCTTTGCTCAGGTCCACGGGGCAACGTGCGATTCTGTCTCCTAAAGGGTCAAACTATGGAACGTTTGGAGAAAGCTGACAGAGTTCTGGAGAACCACTTCCCACGTTTTAGAGAACCAGGAACACGGACAGATCTGTTACATCACAAGCTGTCTCTTTGGGTCTCGGTTTGAGAATTAACAGCAGAAAGCAATGGCCCTTCCTGGATGACACAGAGACAGAATGTTCCTGTGGTTACAAAGAATCCATGAGACATCTAAAATGTGTGTATGTATGTGCGTTTGTATGTATGTATCTGTGGTACTGACGATCGAACCCAGGGAGCACTGAGCTACACTCTCAGTCTAGTTTTGTTTTTTAAATTTTGAGACAGGGCCTCACTAAGTTTCTCAGGCTGATCTAGAACTTGCAATCTTCCTGCCTCAGCCTCCTGAATAGCTGGGGTTACAGACATGTTCCTGTAATGGAGGAAAGGAAATCTAGCTGAAATTTACTCATCTATCAGTTGGTTAATTTATTTATTTTGGTTTTTTGAGACAGGGTCTCATTCTATAGTTTAGGCTGGTCTTGAACTCACTATGTAGCCCAGGCTGGCCTTGAATTCATGCCCATCCTCCTGCTTTAGCCTCCCCAGTGCTGGGATTACAGGCAGGCGCCACCATGTCAGGCTCAGTAAATTTATAACTACTCACATCTGGTTAAGACAATACTAAAAAATATTCTTTTTTTTCTATTTTAAGTTCTAAAGAATTAAAACCAACAAAATGTTTCAGACAGACTCCTGTGACTTGGACCCTATAAGGTTAAAAGGTTCTACTATAGCGCAATCTTCTATGATAACTTTTCTTTTTTTTTGGTACTGAGGATCAAACTCCGGTCCTTGTGCTTGTGAGGCAGGCAGCAGAACCACTGAGCTAAATGCTTGGCCCTATGATAACTTTTGAAATCATCCTTTGGGGAGTCTCAGGAAATTAACATAAGGGTTCCTAAAACAACAGCCTTTATTACATCTTTGCCTTTTTGCATATACAAGAAAGCACATCCAGACGCAGCGATGCCCAACAGACACGATCAGAAAGGAAGTGTCTTCCAGTCTAACCTGTGCAAAGTGAATGGAACAGCTCTGCGAAGAGATGGCCGTGTGGGCTGGAGAAGATGTAGGACCTCTGTGCTCTCTCCTCACTGGTGGGCTGTGCTGCAGATCTACTCAGAGACCGTTCACTGCCACACTGCCTCCTGGAGGGGAGGGACTGTGCCTTTCTAGGAAAATACACCCCCAGGGACTCCAGGGTGCTAACACTATAGGAGCGCGTGAGTTATCAGGATATACAGGCACTAACTGCCCAGGGAAGAAGGACAGAAACTGGAAGCAATGGTGAATGCAACGAACCAGAGAAACATACCACAAACCCTTTAACGATGTCGAATTCTCACGGTGAAATACAGAGGTAGAACTTATGCTTCCTCGGGGATGCTCCCTGGAGCAAAAGGAACAAAAGCCCACTCGAATGAGCTCAGATCATGTCTGTTCCCACAGCACGGCTCACGCTCCCAGGCGCAGAAGAATCTGCTCAGTAAATATTAGGTGGTAGCTAGACCGATGGACGGGGGAAATCTCAGCCTGCTGATTAAAACCACACCGAAACAAGCAGCACTCGCAGCAAGTGCTTGTTACTGTCTTCCTTCTAAATGACAGGCCAGATTTATCAAGATGTTTTCCACTTAAAAAAAAAAAACACCTCCAAGATTAAGGATAACAGACAGTATTTTTCCATGAGGTGAGATGTGGCTATTTCCATCTTTATTCTCTCACATGCACTGTTCCTGAGTGACTCTGGCCTTGAACGTGGCACGAAGTGGCTTACGGAGTCTTCCGTTGTCTTCCCTCTGTTAGATCCTCTCATCCCGCCTGAGAACCACTGCAGGATAACTAGAGAAACTGGCTGTCTTTTCGACAGTTTGCATTCTGTTTGCTTCTTTGTGTCACGGAGTAGAACAGATCATGAACCTCAGGATATTAAATGAAATTACTGTGTAGATGTACAACCATTGCAGGGAATGAGGACCGGAAACATAATTCCTCGGGAACTTAGCTATAGGTAAAGATTTCTTCAAGTGTGTTTTTGAAGAAGTCATAAAAGGGATATGGAAGCCTGCTGCGCTTGCAGCAAAAGCTGCAGCAGCCGCATGGCCACACTTTCAAACAGTAGTAAAATCATCGCCTCTTACACACTGCTTGGCAGTAAACAAATGCGCCATGGTGAGAATATCTCGACTATCAAAATGATTCTGAGAAACAAGAGGCCATAGGTCCGAATCTCCGTTTTAAAGACAGAAAACCGAGGCTTTGAGAGGTTTTCGGACTTAAACTCACACAGACAAGTACGAGTGTGTGTCTCACCAGCGGGACTGTATATGCTCCTAAATGCGAACGTCAGTTTAAAAATTATCAACATGGGGCAAGGCTTTGGAAGAACCTTTGCTTTCCAAAAGTAAATGCCAGGGGCCAGGGATTTAGCTCAGTGGTTAGGTGGCCTGCCCTGCAAGCGCAAGGACCCGAGTTCAATCTCTGGTACAAAAAAAAAAAAAAAAAAAAAAAAAAAA